TACGGTGTGCTGTGACTAAAAACAAAGTAGGTATAAAATTAGATATTGACGCGCATCGAAGGACTAAGTAGGAATCTACAGGATGGTATTCTCAAACTTGGCTTGTTTTATGAAGGCCTGTTTTCTCTCCACCTACTTTTCTCAGTCCCGTCCAAGGTGTTATGGTTAGAGCCGTTCCTGTACCCTACAAACAATACAGGTTTGGTTCTTAGGTGCGACAGCCGTACGCCCAAAAGGTGGTTTTTGGCTTCTTCTATGGCCAATGAGTGAGACAAATTATGGCAAGGAAAAGTTTGCCACCTTTTGTACATATTATAAAAGCTTCATTTCCACTTAAGGATGTTCGCAACTGATGGGCTTCACCCTTGGCTAAAACATTTTTATTCGTGAAGCCTAATATAACTTCTTGCCTCTTGTGACTGCTAATATAACCGAAGCACAATGCCCCAGAAACCTAATGTAATACTTACTGAGCTAACCGCCTGCACCTGGCATAGTTAGGCTTGAATTGTGCAAATTTTTATGTTGATATGTAATTGAAACAACCCCCCCCCCCTCCTCTTCAACGTATCAAGGAGAAAAGAAAAACCTTTTTTAGAGGCAAAGGCCTGCCAAATTCCTGAGATGTGAATTTGTCACAATTGTCATTGTCAGTCTCATTCCACAAACATTTAAGTCATTTCTTAAAGTTTATTTATAGAAAACAAAAGGAAGAGCGCCTAAATCATAACCGTGACTAGGACAATCGTGATTTTTCAATTAAAAACTAGGAAGGAACTATCGAAACAAAAGTACAACGTAAGATGTCCCTTGGTGTATTTTTTCGTATAAAAACCTTTATCTGGATACCCCCAGACATTGATCGGGACAAATGAGTTGCAACGCGATAGAATCAGGCGTTCGTCAATTTTGGGGAACATGAAGATATTGGTAAAATCAGCTTGTTCAATTGTCTCGCTTTAGATGTAAAATTCCCGTTTACCCTAAATAGAAAATAGAAAAGTATGTGTTTGGGGGGGGGGGGGATTGTCACATTGTGACAAAGGTAAAAATTATAGAGGAAAAGGCTGAAAATGTTGGATGAGTTCCATAACCGGAGAGACTTTTGAAGAAGCAAATTTACACTTTTCGAGGTTCTGAAAGCGTTTTTCTGTAAACAAAATCGACACATAAATGTGTTTGTAATTGGCGTAAACGGTGTTGATCCTGAAATAAGAGTCGATGAAAATTGATTTTTTTTTGTTTCTGTGATTTCATTATTTTGACGAGAGTCTGGTTTCAACACGGTACCACTCAAATGTGGAATGTCGCTGGCAATCTGGACGATATCATCAAAATCTTAAGCCGTGAGAGTGTTACATGAGGGATTTCCACTATGTAAGGGCTATTGTGTGGTTCACAGGCAGCTGTATTAAAAGGAAGACGTTTGGAAGAAATGACCTGTTGTGAGTTCGCTACCTTAAAATTACAACGTTCTATCTGCTGAGGACCTTGTGTTCAGAAATTTGATGTAAAAAGATTTGAGTTCCACAACGTGTCAAACTGTTTCGAATACAATTCTTTAATATCTTGATAACGACTCCGAATAATCTTACGATTTGATAAAGCAGATAAAACATTTGGTTTCTGATATCCTTGTCTTAGTAACTCAGAACGGTCAAAAATGTAACTTTGTAACTCTAAGGTAACGAGTTACCCATATTATCTATGACCTCTTTACAGATGTTTCACCCCCACTTTGACAATTTAGGAGGCGCGCTGCACTGGTTCGACCCAGCCTGTCAGAACCATCCCAGACTGCAGGCATCATCTCGGCAGAAAGACAGAGATATTCGGTGATACCTACCTCTTTAGGTGATATAGACCTTTCCTCGTGGCAACTGAATTCGCTTCTGCTTGAAACGGCAAAAACACAAACCATGAAGTGACAGACTCCACACATTGGTTTTGACGTAAAATACTGAGCTTGAGGAATTTCTTCGTATCGCTTACAAAAATGAAAGCCTTTACATTCTGCATTGTGCATAATTCAGAAGAATCTGCTAGTGTTTACGATGGCCAAAGCAGCTGAACAAAAACGCCACATTGTTGTTGTATGTAACTCTCTAGTAACACCTCTAACCTTCGACTGCTACTGGTTTATCTGTGTTGCAAGTGCCGTAAAACTTACTTCAACAAAAGCGAAATAATATTCTATCATAACTTATCAACCTTGTGAACGGACCTGGCAATAAATGGG